AAAAAAAGGTAACACAGGGTCTCTTCCTCAACCAGAGACGCCTCGGTGGTAATAATCAAACATAAAAATCCCGGAATTTATTCGACTTTGGTGAAACTTGTATAGGATGTAGCATACTATGAGATATTATGTTTATAGTTTACAGATCAAACAAAAAGTGACCCAGTTATGATTAGCCACATCAACAAAAGAAACTCCATATTTAATGACGGCGAAGAAGAAAGATCACGTAACGGACTCGACTTGGAGCTATCTGCTGACTGTGACTGGAAGTTTGATACTCTTCGACATGTCATCATCAGTTACTATTATTTCCTCAGTTACCTGCATGTACAATGTTGCGAGATGTTCGACTTGTATCCTGTTCCTGTACAGCCGATGTGGATGCAACCTCGATGGACTATTTGACAACTCTTGTTGAGGCAAATACATCTATCAAGCCCAAAGATGCTGTGTCGGCACCCCAAAATATGTTTGGTTCTGACAAGGACAGTAGTAATAATATATAGTAGTTGCCTTCTACCAGACCAAAATACCAAGAAAAAGATCTCCGACCTCAAATAGGCAGTGAAAGAAGGTCTCATAATCATAATTCTAGAATAAATAAAGGGATAATTAATTTTCTTGTGTGACCATTGCTAGTATGGCAGTGCAGCCACTTCAAAACCCTGTCTCTTTAACTGCTCAAACTCCCAATTTAAATAAGTCACAATCATATATATTTTACATTTGGATACAGTCGGATTTGGTACTTCGTCTCTGGTTGAGGGAGACATCCCCTATTTAAACAAAATTATAAAAACAAATTATTCTCTAAACATTATTCTTTCTGACACGAGAAAGCATTTAGCGAGGATACACAGCTGATTTCTTATCCTTTAATTTAATAAAAGTTATCCTAAATTATAATTATGTCTGTAGACAGTTAATCAAATACAACCTTTAATCGATTTCACATATGAATACAAGTTTATCATATGCTGCAACATTTGTTTGAAATGGTCAAAAAATTGTCTGTGATGTTATATAACCAAATGTTGATTAGAAGACATGTTCTTTGCACAGGCGAATTAATTAAGAGGGTTATTACAGTGGACATCAGAGAGTGTTGTCATATATTAAATCAGGAGTTCGTCACTGGAATAAGTTAGTATCTTTACCTGTAGTATCATGTAAAATAACTGTATTTCCAATACTTTTATACACCACTGACCATTTCTGTTGAAGAACAAAAAATCGGAAAACTGGAAGATTAATTATCATGATAAGTTGTTATGATCTAATAAACATGGGAACTATGGACATAGTTGAACGATAGTTTCGTTTCTTGGTGCGAGTGCAGACGGTGGTTAACACAAGAGAACTATGTTTACATACTAAGTGCAGGTAGTGTTTAACACAAGAGAACTATGCTTACATACTAAGTGCAGACGGTGGTTAACACAAGAGAACTATGTTTACATACTATGTGCAGGTAGTGGTTAACACAAGAGAACTATGTTTACATACTAAGTGCAGATAGTGGTTAACACAAGAGAACTATGTTTACATACTAAGTGCAGATAGTGGTTAAAAGAAAGAGAAATACGCTTATATACTGAGTGTTGGTAGTGGTTAATGGAAAGAGATGACTATGTTTATATAACAACTGCAGGAGGTGCTTAATGGACGTACAGGCCTATGTTTATACACCTGATGCAGGAGGTGGTTAATGGACGTACAAGCCTATGTGTATACACCTGATGCAGGAGGTGGTTAATGGACGTACAGGCCTATGTTTGTATACCATGTGCAGGAGGTGGTTAACAAAAGGAGAGGGCTATGTTTATATATGGTGTAGGAGGTGAATACACATATACACAGTTCCTACGAAGATGAGTTTCTTTAACAGGGCAGAGAGTAGAATCAGGGGGAAATTAATAACAAGAAACAATAAAGCATGAAATAAAATAGAAACTTCGAATTTAATCAGAAGTTCAACGTAAGTATGTAAACATAGTTCTTTTTTTCTTCTACCATCAGCTACAGTTAATATAACTTTCTTCTTCTTTTTTACCATCATTTGCACTCTGTTTATAATCACAGTTATTTACCATCACTCAGTGTGTTTAAATATATGTATTAAATTTATCACCAACATTATTCTTATTGTTTGCTTTTCTTATACGTCATCCACTTTCAAACAGTCTGGCACCATGTCATCACTTCTGTTTATTTACACCAAAAGTTCAGAGTCACGTCCTCTATTACATCACCAGCTGCTTGAGTCAGCTGGAAACACACTATAAATACAGACTATCATTGTATAAAAGATGTGCTAACTATAAATGTATTTAGTTGAGTTTTCCATTTGCAAAGTTAGATTTAGTTTTGACTGCAACATGATTATATATATTTAGCACAGTGTATGCACAGCTCTGTAATGGGCATATGGGCAGTCCTTGGGCTTAGTTGTTGAGTTCGACTTTACACTTGTTACAAAGAAATTTTTTTGGATTTCGGGTCGTGCTTTCGTGAGTGGAGCATACAAGCCACCAACTCCAGGAAGTTTATGTGTGGAATAAAGAACTCGCACAGAGACAATTGAATACAAATCAAATAGTCTTTTAATTTACACACATTTGAGCATTTCATGTGTATCAAAAATCTCAAAGTTATCTTGAAACAACACTAACTCTAGGTCATTGAATTTTTCATTTTTAAGATCTAGGCCTTTTATTATGTTCATTAACATAGACACAACATTAGTTAAGTTATTAATTAAATTAACATGAAAAAATCTCTAGGTCATAACCAATACATTAACATTTTAATTCATTTCTTTCAACCCTTCTTTCAGGTTATTCGATGTTGGAGGTCAAAGGTCAGAAAGAAAGAAGTGGATTCACTGTTTTGAAGATGTCACAGCTATTATATTTTGTGTAGCCATGAGTGAATATGACCAAGTGCTTCACGAGGATGAGACCACAGTAAGTTTGGTTTTACTGGTAACAGAGGGAGAAAAATGCATGTCTTGGTTACTAGGATAGCTGTAGAATTATTCCACGGAAAAATACACATCATATTTCTATATCTTGCAGGGAATATTTGTTGTATATATTATCTGAGAAATAGAACATTTAAAATAATTTTGTATTATGTGTTTCCAAAACATAGCATCTCATCAGCTAATGTATAATTATTATTGTCTTGTGGTCAGAAGTAAACTAGATATATGTATCAGTATTAAAAAGGCAAGGGTGGGATTTTGGACCAAATTGTGAGGGTGGGGCAAAAAGTCTGACTTTATTATTGTGAATGTCATTTGTATACTATACTCCACAGAAAAAAAAGTTAGGTGCAATGGCTCCCCTCTCTATTCCTGCCTATGCTAAAAAGCAATACACAAGAAAACTAAACAGTGTGATCATCAGACACATTGAATCATTGGTTGGTTATCCTTGCTGCTGAAGATGTTTTTGACCATTATCCTAATAACATCTTGTATGGTGCAGTCAGCCTAGAAGATTTACACTACCTAAATTTATATATAATAAGCTAACAACTCAAAATGATCTTCGTAAGTGTAATACAAATTCAAGAATTATTAATTTTTAAAGTTTTTAATGCTGAAAGAAGGATAGAAACCATTGTACAATAAAGATGACAAGTAGCTTCAGATAAATGTGACTGACTGACAGACAACACACTACTATATAGTAGTGCGAGTGGTTAAAACAGGTGATTTCTCCAGGCATCCTTCGGCCCCCTTTTGGAGAAACTAGCCTTAAGGGACAGAACTCAGTTAATAGATATATCTCAAGTCTGTGACCTTTATGTCTTCTGTCAAAGTACACTATTAACTTAGTGTACTTCTAATTTAAATAGTATTTCACCATATCCAGGTTTAGATTATGTTAAAGATTTAAATAAGGTTTCTTTAAATACATAATCTATAACTTTCAGATTAGGCCAGAATAGGTATAGTTTACTTATTCTTTTCTTCTTCCATTATATGAGTGTGTGTCTTTATATAGACACAATCTATATACAAATCTGAAAACGTTTATAATGAGACTAAATAAAATTTTTTTACATTACCAGACTTCATCATCATTAACTCATAGCGTTAAATGTCTGTGGTCACAGCTCCTAAACTCTTTGGGAATAAATAGTCCATCTATCAGACAAGATCCAGATGCATATGTCAAACTAGTCAGTAGCAATGAAGAATCAGTTAAGGGTTAGGAGTTGAATGCTTGAAGCCAGTTGTGAGAAGGTGGTCACCATTAATATTTAGATATAAAATTAACCTTAAAGCAGAAATCACCCTACATTTCTACATTTTTAAAACTCCCAACGTCCACCCTTTTAAAATATTATAAGATATTCAATAAGGTAAATAGTCCCAACAAATGAGCAAAAATAACCTTATGGTAGAAATAAACCACCCTATATTTCAACAATTTATAAGACTCCCAACTTTCACCCCTTTTTATTAATTATTACAAAGTGATGTTTAAAGGAACCCTTTTTTTAATAATTCTGTAATAATTATTTAAACTCCCATCCTCCTCCCTTTCTCTTGAAAAATGTGTTCAAGTATAAATTGGGTGAACTGAGACAAGCCCAGCTACCTGAAGTTGGTATTTCCATCCAGGTATACTGAACAAGTACCTAAATATTTTATGGTTAGTTCCTTATAAACTATGGATGACCCTGAGTAACTAGCGGCCTCTATGTTTTCGAAAAGGAAGTTTCAGTAATTGAGAGTTTACTTTTTAACATATTCTCATACTTATTATGAAAGAGTGTGAAAACATTTTTTATTTGCCAATCTTAATAATCATTACTTTTAAATTAATTTATCAATAACTATAGCTAAGTATAACTATTTAAATTAGAGTTTAGAACCTGTTTGAAAAATAAATTTTCATAGAAGTAGAGATACAAGTTGGCCATGTTTGAAGAGAAACTAGCACCCAGCAAAATACCCACTGTTTGCTTATATACTTGTTCATTGAAAGTAATATAACTATTGTAGATACAAAAATTAAGTATATTTTTACATTGGTACTTAGTTAATTTAAATATTGGAATAGTTATTTCTGTATCTACAAATTTATCAATTAGATCATTCTTCTTCTTCTGTAGCTTTTTCCTGTATCTATACAGGGTCGCTATTTTTGGTTTTGGCGGGGTTTTTACGGCCGGATACCCTTCCTGACGCCAACCATCCCCTAATTTAGCAGTGTAAGACTAGAGGGAAGGCAGCTAGTCATCACCACCCACTGACAACTCTTGGGCTACTCTTTTACCAATGAATAGTTGGATTGACCGTCACATTATAACGCCCCCACGGCTAAAAGGGCGAGCATGTTTGGTGGGACGGGGGCGCGAACCCGCGACCCACAGATTGCGAGTCGAGCGTCCTACCCACCTGGCCATGCCACCCCTCAATTAGATCATTAAAAAACCTAATTAAATCTTTCCGATCTATTGTAATTTATAATGTAATAAAATCATAAGTAGTAACATAGTTGTTTTTAAAGAATTTACGTTATTTAAACATCCCGAATCATTTGATGACAGTAACTACATTTTTTCAAATAAAACATCTAGAATTTATTAAGTTCAGCAGAAACAGATTTAGCAACTATGCATAAAGAGTTTGTAATAAACCTGAAATTAACAGGGTTTGATGCAATTTTGTAATTGCATATAAAAATGGTAAGTTAGAACAAGTAGAATCTATATTTATATTCCATTTTTTAAATGGGTTTCATCAAATTAGTAATACTTGTAATTTTATTTAAGGTGCTTTTTTAAATATGTTTGTTGTACAAATTTCATTAATTAAAATTTTTGCATATAATTTTTTACATACAAAACCAAAATTACAACCAGTTTTATCAATAGGGGTAAGAATAATAAATTGTTCTTGAATTCACCTAATTTTATTTTTAAAGATATTAAAAGAAATATACCTTATATTTAGAAAAGTTTGAGTTTATATTTTTATGGAATTAATAATAAATAGTTTCCATTCAAAAAAGAAGCATGAGATTTTTTACTGATTTTGATAATGTAATCATTAATATTTTTCCTAATCCTTTAAAATTTACTTTTTTTGTATTTTTATAAATTCTAAATTTAGTACCTTTTTAAAATCAAATTTAAGCCCTTATCTTTCATAACCTCCACATTACCTATAACAATATGATTATGAAAGGAATCAATAAAATTCTACCACGAGGTTATTTGTGCTTATTTGTTGGGGCAATTTACCATATTGAACATCTTATAATATTCAAAAAGGTTGGGGCCTGGCGTGACTAGGTGGTTAGGGTGCTCGACTCGCAATCTGCAGGTCGCGGGTTTGGATCCCCGTCACACCAAACATGCTCGCCCTTTCAGCCATGGGGGCATTATAATGTAACAGTCAATACCATTATTCATTGGTTAAAGAGTAGCTCAAGAGTTGGTGGTGGGTGATGATGACTAGCTGCCATTCCTCTAGTCTTACACTGCTAAATTAGGGATGGCTAGTGCAGATAGCCCTCGTGTAGCATTGCATGAAATCTATAAAAAACCGAACTTAAAAAGGTTGGAGGTTGGGAGTTTTACAAATGTAGAAACTTAGGGTGGTTTATTTCTACTTTAAGGTTATTTTATATCTAAATATTAAGGATGACTGCCTTCCGACAACTGGCTGAAGACAGTTAAAGGCAGAAGGAGTTGAAACGTTGTAGGATTAAGTACTCAACTCCTAACCCATAACTGATTCTCCATAACTGCTGACTAGTGTGATTACGACATCTGCATTTGAATCTTGTCTGATTGATGGACTATCCCCAACGCATTTGGGAGCTATGCCTACATATTTTTCGCTAAAAGTTAATGATGATGATAACGACTGGTAATGGAAACTTGTTTTTAGTCTAATTGTAAATGTTTTTCATTTGTGTGTGTATACATATATTACTTACATTATGCCTGGGAATAATAAAAAAAACTGTCTTATTTAAGCCAAAGTACTTTATGAGATTAGGTATGAAAACATAAACCTACTGTTGTTATTCAAACAAAAATGAAAATTATCTGAATTGTTAATGGTTTCTCTATATTCTTCTTATCCTCAGAACCGTATGCAAGAAAGCTTGAAGCTCTTCGACTCCATTTGTAACAACAAGTGGTTCACAGATACCTCCATTATTCTCTTCTTAAACAAGAAAGATCTCTTTGAGGATAAGATCAAGAAATCCCCTCTAACTATCTGCTTTCCAGAATATACAGGTAAGATAAAAAGTAGCCTGTTATAGGAAATGTAGAATATTCCAGAATATAGAGGTAAGATAAAAAGTAGCCTGTTATATGAAATGTAGAATATTCCAGAATATACAGGTAAGATAAAAGTAGCCTGTTATAGGAAATGTAGAATATTCCAGAATATACAGGTAAGATAAAAAGTAACCTGTTATGGAAGTGTAGAATATTCCAGAATATACAGGTAAGATAAGAAGTAGCCTGTTATAGGAAATGTAGAATATTCCAGAATATACAGGTAAGATAAAAAGTAGCCTGTTATAGGAAATGTAGAATATTTCAGAATATACAGGTAAGATAAAAAGTAGCCTGTTATAGAAAATGTAGAATATTCCAGAATATACAGGTAAGATAAAAAGTAGCCTGTTATAGGAAATGTAGAATATTCCAGAATATACAGGTAAGATAAGAAGTAGCCTGTTATATGAAATGTAGAATATTCCAGAATATACAGGTAAGATAAAAAGTAGCCTGTTATGGAAATGTAGAATATTCCAGAATATACAGGTAAGATAAAACGTAGTATATTATAGGAAGTGTAGAATATTTTATGGCTAGTAATCAATTACAAACATACAGAGCTGTTGTAGATTAGCGTATTATTATTTATTATAGAGAGTGAATTTATGTATATATATACATACTGTTTTGTTAGTCATGGATTTGTTTTTCCTTTCAAACGGTTAAACTTCTTTTCTCACACACACCTCGCTTCCATCAACAATGTACAATAATTACATCGTATTTACGCCTATTCTGTTTTCTCCGCAGGAGCCCAAGAATACGGGGAGGCAGCAGCCTTCATTCAAGCTCAGTTTGAAGCCAAAAACAAGTCCACAACTAAAGAGATATACTGCCACATGACGTGTGCCACGGACACAACAAACATCCAGTTCGTATTCGACGCCGTTACGGACGTGATTATAGCAAATAACCTGCGAGGTTGTGGGTTGTATTAAACTATGCAGTTCTCCATGGAAATTGACACCAGCTACTTGACGAGCAGGCCTCCGCCAGAGCAGCGCCAAGATTCGTTTATATTTACTGTCTTGTTGCTGGGATCGAGAGTCCTTACAAGTTTATCCTAGGATCCACTCCTAGGGGGGGCTATCTTCTGTTTTAATGTGCTCTCTCTCTCTCTCTCTTGTAATTTAGTCTTACTGATTCATACGGTTCATTTTAAATTATTTTGCTGGTAATTGGTGGCATACATTATAGAAAACCATGGAGAAGTAACATTTGAGAGTTTTTTTCAGCATGTAATGAAACGTAAAGGCTTCTGTTGTACGTTTGAGATATTACAAAAGTATGAGAAACAAAAAAAAAGTTCAATTATTAAGAACCTCAGATTTTAAGAGCATTTTTGTATGCCTTGAAGAATGAACTTGCAACTTGTATTATTTATTACAATTTGTTTATCGTCACGTAATGTCTCTTGATAATGGGCTTTGAGGTGTGAAGGCTGGTCATAAGAACAGTGGTCACTTCACTTCCGGGTGTATAGAGCAACAGTATGCTGCACGCATTCAAAATGTTAGTCTGTCTGTTGCACTAAACCGTAGTTCAAAAACCCCATTCTAGAAAAAAAAAAAAGTAACGAGATCCCTAAAATTTTTGTCATCCAAAAAATGATACAATGGTTCTTTAACATCGTACCCACATTATTCGTTTTACAATTTTTTCTCTTGTTATTTAATGCTTGCTTTCCACGCGCGCGCGCACGCACACACACAAATATTTACACTGTTAATGATACATTCTGGGATGTACCGTCACGAAATGATTTGTTGTTGTTTTTTCACGTGTGACAAACTGCACGCCTACTTATTGCGCGAGACATTAAGTTAACGAAGTTCCATATTCGTGAGAAACCCAACAACAAAGTTTATCTAAGTCACAGGTTACGTTTTTCATAAGGTTCATTCCAGAATGAATTAATGAGAGCTCGTCATTGAGGTCTGTCTGTGGAATGTTCTGGGACCACGACTCTTCTGATGGGTCATATGCGAAGCTATACACGACCAAAAGAAGGCTTCAGGGCCTTCTCGTGTTCACCTTTTCTTAGGTATGCAGTATCTGCAGTTTACCAGAGTAATCCTCATGTTCAGTGTCTTGAAGAGAATGCTAGTGTGGTTTCTAAAACAAAAAAGTATTTAAACATTGGCTTCTTAATTCAAAGCATTACTGTTCACTATTGTGACTATCATAATCACCACGGAACCAATTTTCATCAAATTTTAATCTTTATTTATATTTCTTCGGTACTTATTGATAGAAATGTGTGTGTAAATAAGTGTTGATTTCGAGGTAAACTAAGAGTGAAAATGTTATTAATTGAGGCAATTTAACTGGCATTAAAGATTTAGTGAGTAAACCGTTTGTATGGTAACAAGTAATGTGGCATAAAAGCTTTAATGAGTGACCTTTATTATGGTAATAACTAAAAGCTTTGAGTTGGCATATAATATGTGATGAGTGACTATTATTATTATGGTAACAACTAAGCGTAGTAACAAAATGGAGAGTACTTGGTTCTCATTCTTTGTTCAAACCACTTAAAGTTACCTTTGTTGCTCGATGAAACTTCTGTGCAGAAAAATTTCTACTATCTCTGAGTTGTCAATTGTGAACACTAAATTCAACCTGGTGCTTTTTACCTTGTGGAGACAAAACCAACATACATATGTAACTGTTATGACTTGATACCTTAACGTTCATGTACATCACATCAATTTGTGTTCAGACTAGATGTATATGTGAAACCAGAAATGGTGTTTTGTGGATAGATTTTTTTCCTTCTGTACATGTGTTGCAAACGTAGTTGTCAGTAAAAAGCTTTGCGTTACGTAATCTGTGCTGTACATTAAAAGTTTCTAACCCTAATCATTGCAGTAAAGTGTGCTTCCTCGACAAATATGCAGAGGTTTAATACGTTATATTAAAACGATTTTGGAGCCTCACCACGTCGTTGCAGTCCACGTTGCCACGTCTTGTCGGGCTCCATCTGATGACCGTGCATTTTGACAATAGCCCTACAGGATGGAATCCATTGCAAATGGCTCAGTCGCAAGGCTCTCTTTTTAAAAGCAAATTCCTCAATCTAGAGTACGAGAATGATGTTTTTCTAGCTCCTGCTTAAACAGTCCCATCGCACATAATTCCATAGGCGCTGAGTCCGGCGACTTGGCCCGCATGGGTTAGCATGAATACCCATTTCATTCAACAGCTGCTTAAGGTATTCGATGGTTGAACTGATATGTCGTGGAAAGCAACTTACGTACTCGTGACTTGTGTCGCTTTTCCAGCGGAGATCCTTTTTGAGTATGTTGTACATAGCTGTCTACGGCACGTGGACAGCTTTTGCTACTGATTTTTGTGTTCGTGCATTCTTATCTGTTACAAGACGCCACACTTTGCTTACCACAGCTTGGGTAAGACTTGTTGCAGATATCTTTCTGTATGATCTTGGTACCCCAATTTGATCCATATTTCTTTGTATTTTAATGCCATTAAGTACAAGGGATATCTTCACTCCGGAAATTCAAAATGCCCGATTTGAAGAAATCTCTTTGATCCGAATATATTAATATTTTACTTTGGAAAGGACTGTTACATTACCTACGAATTCCAAATGTCAAATTGTAATTCCGATAATAGATACCATTTCATCATCACTTTATATCAGTTGTGCACGTCACGTGCACTTTCATGATTTGCGTATTCAAAATCGTTTTGATATAAAGTATTAAACCCTTTGTATTTCTACCTTATTGCACTACGGCTGTGATTATAAGCAAAGCTTGGTAATACACTTTGAATACATAATAATATAACTATTATCTACCATACGATTCCGATATATCTATAAATAATACTTGGTAATACACTTTGAATATATGATGTATAACTATTATTTACTATATACTTTCGATACATTTATAAACAATGATTGGTTTGTTGTTAAGCACAAAGCTACACAATGGGCTATATGTGTTATGCCCACCACGGGTATCGAAACACAATTTTTAGCTTTATAAGCCTTCAGACGTACCGCCGAACCACTTGGGGGCTAGCGATGCTTGTGATGCACTTTGAATACATGATGTATAACTATTATTTATTATGCCCCCCCCCCCAGTGGCACAGCGGTATGTCTGCGGACTTACAATGCTAGAAACCGGGTTTCGATACCCGTGGTGGGACAGAGCACATTGTGTAGCTTTGTGCTTAATTCCAAACAAACAAACAATTACTTATTATACACTTTCAATACATCTATAAATAATACTTAGTAATACACTTTAGAAATATATTCCAGAAAAATACTTGCTAAACGATCAAAATTTAAAAGTAATGGTTGATAATACACATATATATACATAATACTTGCTACAATGGCGTCCGCTACAAATCTTATTCAGTATCGAATTTAACAGTTTCACAAGACACTGTCTTAGAGAATGGTGTAGACGTTAATTTTTCGGGCTAAATATAATTTTAAAAAATCACGTTAAGTAGATAATATGTGCGTTTATTTCTATTCTCGCTTATTATTCTAGTTGTATGTTTTTTATATATGATGTAAATAAATTATCAAACATCCCTTTTTTGGGGGCCAGATTCTTCCTTTTGTAGAGACGTTTGATAACGATTTTTGTTCAGATGAAGCCTATCTTGCGCACGCAGACAAAAT